GTTTCTACGGCTGAAATTCGGCACAAAGTTGTGCAGAGTGGTAGAATTTGTTTCTGAGTTGGCACGTATAGGATTACGTGACCTTCTCAACACCATAAAGCCACATTCCTTTGACCAGAGAGCACTTTAAGGGAGCAAGAATGTGGAGCAATCAATAATCAGAAAGAGATGGGCCGGTTTGGAATTTCAAGCATGTAGAAAACAAATTAACATTTACTGCTACCCAAGGGAAAGAGTCTGACTCCTAAAATCTTTCTGTTGTCAGGAACAGGTTCATCTTTAAGGTACTGCAAGATGTTCTGGCTGGATCTAAATTGAAACAGAATTCTGTCTTGCTTTTTTTTCAAAGTAGGAACCAAATCAGGAAACGTTTCTAACAGTCAGAGTTTATCTGAAACGGTTAGCAATTACACCTGGAGCAAGATAACACATAAAAATCACTTCCTGAAATGAGTTTTGCCCAGTGGTCTCTAAACTTGGCAACTTTAAGACTGGTGGACTTCAACTCCTAGAATTCTCCAGCCAACATGGCTGCTTGAGGAATTCTGGAAGGTGAATCCAGAAGTCTTTGAATTGCCAAATTTGGAGATGCCTGGCTTAGTCCGGTTCCTACCTGGTGTGAAAAAGAAACAGACATAAAACAGTTTGTTCACTTGCCTTATTTTTACAGCTTTTATTGTTTGATAAATTAGCGTAATAGAAAGAGAAAACAATGCCGCAATGGTAGTCTAATAAAAAACGAACAATGATAAACTGAAATAAGAGGAAGGAATGAGAAGGAATGAGAAGGCCCCTGCAGAAATAATTAATATTTAAGGCTTTAGTGATAGATTAAAATTTGTGATCTAGATTGAATAGCAAAAGCTGAGCTGGCTCCTGTACACATGGGGTGGGGGAGGATGGCAAAACCCGATGTGGAAACATCATAACACAAGCATGAGAGAGGTGAAATTTGCAACCTTTATCGTTTTGACAAAAGCTTTTGATCTCGCAGACGCCTCTGTAGACTAATATGTTTTAATTGGGCCACAGTTACAGTTTCTTCACTCGCTGGCAGGGAGAACAGCAAACGAGGCTGCGAAACTCTAACTCAGTTTCTTAAGGAGCTAAAAATTGGATTATTTTTTGCTCTGACTACTAAAAATTTATAAAACCAAAGGAATGTAACTGGGGTGATAACAAGAATTAAGGCAATGCCTGTTTCAATGACAAATCCCAGCTGCAACTCTGAAAAACACAGACTATAAGGGAGCCCCCCCCCTCCTTTCAGTGCAACCTACAATTGAATCCACACACAAAAACTCCCCATGGGTCAAAAATGTATTGTAGAGCGCAACCGGCAAAGGACATCTTACCTAGGTTCATATCACCTGTGATGCCTAAAACAAACCACATCACGGTTTAAGGCAGCCCAGCAACCTAGTGTAACATTGCAAAATAGGAAAGGGGTGCAATTTTAAAAATACGCCCAGAATCATGAATTTGAGGCAGGAGGGAAGACAAATTCAAAGAAACAAATAAATAAAGTGTTGCTTATTATCAGGCTTTTTTTTCTGGCTCGCCAATAACTGCTACAAAAAGCTTCTGGAATATTAAGATTGTTGAATAAGTTAAGATTGCTGCTCACAATTCCACTCCCCTCCCAACTGCAGAAGATGGTAATTAGTCCAACCTTCCATAATTAAACTCTCGGTCCTTTAACGGGATAGAAAATATGCAACTCTAGCGATTTAAGGGCCAGGGATAAAAAAACTAGAGTCAGCAATTTGATTTTCTGTTAAGTTCTGCTCTTTGGTGGGTGGAGTGATGGGTGGAGTTTGGGAAGGGGAGAGAAACAGAAGCATTTCAAGTTCATAAATATTGTTTGGAAATGATGAGGAATGTCCAAAGAGCATACTTGAAATATATAAAATCAAGCCTTACAGGCAGAACTTCATATCACGGTTGCAAAGAAACACAGAACTGTACAGGATGGATGGGATGGATGGATGGACAGATGAATGATGGATGGACGGACGGATTGGTAGATAGAGATAAATATATCCTTTCTAGAACTAAGTTTCAAAGAAGCTGGTTTATCCAGTGCCTCTGGCAAGTAACTGTAGGTTACAAACCCATTTCTCACCATTAATATATAGGTAGTATATAGGTAGTCCTTGACTTACGACAAGAACTGGGTCCAGAATTTCCATTACTAGCAATTGAATCAGCTGCCTCAAATGATCCCAGAATTATATAAGAATGTCAATAATAATAATCCACCCCTCTAAAAAAACAAAGGAAAATATAAATTCTTCTTTTACTAACTGTTTGAAATTTCTTCAACGACTATTTGGGATTTTTTTTTCATTGCTTATAAGGACCGGGTGCCGGTTTTTTGTTACTATTCTGTGCTCTTATCGCTGCCACGGTTTCTCCTCCCATCTTAGGAAAACATAGTTTTGCTTTCATTTTATTCCACTCAACAGTTGAACTCCTGTATTTATTCAGTCTGCAAATCTGTACAATGGGGTAGTCATAGAAGCAGAGCCAGAAAAAAGAATCACTGTATTTGCAAACCCATATTCGACCTACTTGGGCTACCAGGAGGGCAAAATGGTCAATCACAGTAGCCACAACCATGCCATCAATTTTTTTTACATGCTTCAGTTGGATAGCTGTGATTGCCATCCCGGTGTTTTGTTTTGTTTTACTCCCATCTCTATCAGCATCTCTATCCCATATCTTCAGCATGTCTGGTTGCACATTCATCTATACTGTAATAGCCCAGCTTTCCCATTGATCATGTATTTCTTTCAACCAGCCTACCTCACAGGGTTATACTGGGGAAAAAACAGGAGGAGAGAGTACTCTGATATCTCCTGGGTCTCTGGAACGAAATGCAGGATATAAACCTAATAATCCAATGCTCCAAAAGGTATAATTTCCCATATCATTGAAAAGCAGAACTATAGCAAGCAAGAAGAAGACAAGTCCCAACATCTAATCTCTATCTCAAAGTTGGCAACTTTAAGATGTATGGACTTCAACTCCCAGAATTTTGCAGCCAGCTACGGGAATTCTGGGAGTTGAAGTCCACAAGTCTTAAAAGTTGCCAAGTTTGGAGATCCCAGCTCTATTCTGAAAGTTCAGCCATAGTTTTTGGAATTATCTATATGCCCACGGCTAAGACTCTTTTCAAACCAAGCATGCATTTAAGCTAATATAAAAGCAGTTTTATACAATCTGCTATTTCCAACAATCATTCCAATTCCTGGTGAACTTTGTTTCGACTAGCCGGTTTTTAAATTGGCATAAAACCACTTCATGATTTTGTTATGTTAATTTGGAATTGCAAACTGATGTTGGAGGAGAAAATTCTATGAAAAGATGACTAAGAAATGTAAAACAATTACAATCTCTTTCACTCACACATACACACACACACACACACTGCTTCCTCTCACAACATTGTATCTCCTCTTCAAAAACAACACCATTCCATCATCAACAAAATCAGACCACATTCTGTGAAAAAAACCAAAAACATTTAGAAAGGTGTATTTTTCAGTATACAGCATTTGTTTGTTTTGTAAACTTCTAACCCTAATAACATTATATCTCTCTGTTTCATCTAATTAATGTTAATCAGAATGAAGGCAACTTGGTGCATGATTTCTATACCCAATTTGTGTTGTGTGTGCAATGAGTCAATTGAGATTAAAATATAAGAGTCAGTATCTCAGGGGTGGCCACAAAGAAGAGGGAGTTAAGCTATTCTCCAAGGCAGAACAAGAAGGATGGAAACTAATCAAGGAGAGAAGCAACCTAGAACTAGGCAGATATTTCCTGGCAGTTGGATCAATTCAACAGCGGAACAACCTGCCTCCAGAAGTTGTGAATGCTCCAACACTGGAAGTTTTTAAGAAGAGACTGGACAGCCATTTGTCCAAAATGGTATAGGGTTTCCTGCCTGAGCAGGGGGTTGGACTAGAAGACCTCCAAAGTCCCTTCCAATTCTGTTCTATTCTATTCTATTCTATTCTATTCTATTCTATTCTATTCTATTCTATTCTATTCTAGACTAGACTAGACTAGACTAGACTAGACTAGACTAGACTAGACCTCAGTTGAGATTATAAAATCAGGGCAATAAATAAAAAGAAAATAAAAAAAATTAAATCAATATTCAGGGCAAGGCAGTATACGTTACAGGTGTATCTATTTCGCACACAGAGAAATGCCATCAAATACGGGAAGGGTGTTTCTGCTCCAGCTAGATTGCTAGAACAACACAGTAATTGGACTTTGGAGAGGAAGAGACGTCAACTTTTAAGGAACTAAGGACACGGTGTTAAGAGAGCTTGCAAAAGAGTTACATGGATAAAGGCCATTTCTCATTGTTCCATTTCTCATTGTTCCCGGCCCCAAACGATTCTGCAATCTGAACGCTTGTCTCAGCACACCTAGTTGGTTGTGTTTGCTAAAGGTGATATGGAAACAAAACCATAACTGAACGGAAGACTGCTTGGGAATATTTGCAAGCCGGATCCAGTCCCGAGGTTCGGCGGGAAGGGGGCAACGGCCGTTCTGCTTTGAAAGAAGATGCTCAGCGCTGCCCCCCACCCCACCTTACGACCCGTGAACTTTGAGAGAGATTAATGCTCACTCCAGCGCCCTCCACATCCCTGCCCAACCGAGGCGCCCTAGATCAGTGGTTCTCAACCTTTTTAATGCCGCGACCCCAACCGGCCGTAAGTCGAGGACTAAACTGGTCGTAAGTCGAGGACTAAACCGGTCGTAAGTTGAGGACTACCCAACCGGTCGTAAGTCGAGGACTTTCCCTGCCCGGGAGCGCCGTGCACCCACCCCTTCTTCCCGGGGGGGGGGAGGACTGCCTACCCTTGACACGGGTTCGGTCTCTCCGCGTAACGTGTGAAAGGGGCGCTCTCCTTCAGGTCAGAGCAAGGAGGATGGGGTGATGCGGGGTAGGAGTGGGGTGGGGGCAGAGATGCCGTTACCTGCATGGGGGGGTCGCTGCTCCAGATCACGTGCTGGTAGCCCGGGCTGGCGTCGAAGGGCGAGAGCGCCCGGGGGGAGCAACCGTTGGGCGCGTCCAGCAGTTGCACCCGCTTCCCGCCGGGGCTGCTGTAGGTGCGGACGCGCTCGTAGACCACGCTGCCGCCCCCGTTGCAGCCCTCCTGCGGCGGGAAGGGCTCCGGGCACGGCTGGACCTGCAGGGGCAGCGGGGCGGGCCGGCTCTGGCGGGCGCGGGGCAGCGTGGCGGGCAGCGAGGGCGGCGGCGGCGGCGGCGGCGCCGGGCAGGAC